AAATGAACAAATCCTGTCTGTTTTGAAGGAGAACCCTCCCTTCCCTGGGGAATGTCCTGAAGTCCTGGGCACCTGGCCTCTCTGGATTTCATACCCCTAGACCCCACTGAGGGGTGCCAGAAGGAAGGATACCAGAGCCCAACCTGTTACGGGGCCGGGAATGGGGGCATTGGGAGGCTGTGTGGTGGTTTGAAGAGCCAATGGCTGTAAGTCAGAAGAGCTGGGCGAGGGCCAGGCCCTGTGAACTCTCTATGTGACTGTGGGCAGTTCCTTCTTCCTCTCCCTGGGCCTCAGTTTTCCCATCCATCCAACAAGGGGGTTGGACTAGAAGGTCTATAAAGGCCCTAACAGCTTGAAAGATTCCATTCTCTTCTCTGAATCTGCCCAGGGGGGGGGGCCTTGGGGGCTGGGGCACTGGCAGGGGCTGAGAATTCCATAGCAATTTGCATGTGAAAGCATGTTACTGCCATGGCTATTAGTGTGTGCAGGGGGGCTGAAGACGGGGCAAGGACAGCTAACTGTCAGGCTGGCCTGAAAGGCCTGGCTGCTGAGGAGGTGGGGGAGGGAGGGAGAGAAGGAGGGTGGGATGCCTTGGAGGTTTAGGCAGGAGGCTGAGCTGCCACACTCCTGTTGAAGGCGAGCTGCCATGGGTTTGAGGTACCCAATTCTGCGTCTAGTCCACAAACCAGGAGGTCTGGCCCTTACAGATACCTCCAAGGTCTTGTACTAAGGAATGACTTCAGAACTGTGAGGTGCCACAGAAGAGTAGACCCCAGGGATGGGGAGTGAACTGCTAGCGCATTTTCCAGGCCTGTGCCTAAGCCTTCCAGGACCATTTTCCTCAGGGCTATGTGTCCTTTGGGCAATTGCTGTGTATAAACTTACATAGTTTGTCAACATGAATACTATACTATATATGTTTGGTTCATGCACTCGCACAGACTTCTGGGGGTTGTGGGAGGGAGGCCAAAGCAACAGCATACAGGAAGGCACTCAGCTGTAGTCTGTGAGGCAAAGGAGTTCACTCTAGGGACTGACCTGGGGCCAATTCCTGGGTGCCTTTGAGGAAGTACCTTCCTCTCCCCTCCCCTTCCAGTCTCTGGACTTCAGTTCTCCCATGAGAGGCTTGTTCAGGAAAGAAGCTCTCAGGAACTTTCTCACTCTGTCATTTTCTGTCCTGTGTCCTCTCAGGTTCTACTGAATAGGCATGGAGGCAGCCTAGGAGGCTACCAGTCAGTGCCTCTGCCCAGTAGGATCCAGCTTGTATGGAGTCCATGGCAGAGGGCACTTCTAGTGCGCTGGAGTCAACTATGGAAACCTCCTAGCGCCTTTCCTTAGGGAAAGACTTGAGAGTGGAGGACACACCTCTCCCAGAAGCCAGTTCTCCTTACCCACTACCTCTGGAGTGGTTGGAAGAGACCACTCCAAAGGGCCATGGGGGTAGACAGGGACTGAGTACAACTCTTCCAGTTTGGCTTGAGGAGGCATTTATCATGGGTACATTCTGCCCAGACTCCAGTCCAGGTCCCTGGGACTAGGGCTGGAAAAGGTAGCAGGGGATTGGAGCATCAGGATAACTTCTAATCATGATGTTTATGAGCCTGACAAAAGGCCAGCTTTGGTCAGAGATGGTGAGAACAGTTGTAGCTAGGGCTCCGCTCCCAAAGTCAGGGTGCTGGAGAGGCCCAGAGCTCAACTTCCCACTCTCTTCACCTCACTGGAAAACAAGAGCTACCATCTTATCAGTGCTTACCACATGCCAGGCACACATTGTTCAGAAAAAAAATATGGATGAATCAATCTGTGAATGGCTGACTTTAGGTCTCACATTTTTAATCTGTGTCTCTTTCATTCTGCCTCTCCCATTCATTCCCATGACCTGTCATCACACAGGCACAGTTAAGAGCTAACCAGGCACTTAGAGGCCTTTCTTGAATGTGAGGTCCCTGGGAGCAGGGACCTATCTCTCTTGTTCTTCACTGGACCCCACCTGCCTGTCTACCAACTGGCATCTCATAGGCACTCAGTAAATACTTTCTGAATAAATGAAGAAATTGTGCACCAGTCATTATCCAGACAGGGAATTGAGGCTCAAAGTAGCAATTCTCAAGCCTGATGGCCAGGATTCTGGCACTGCAGTAAAGGGCCCACAGCTAAATGCCCCCTCCCACACCCCATCATACATTCCTTAGTCCCCACCCCCAGATTTACCTCTTTCCTTTCTTTTTGCCAGCTCAATAATTAACCACTGGAAACAAAACCTATAAATGCTCTCTCCCCTGTGCCCTTAAGTTGCTTTCAACTTGGGCTCTGACACCCCTGTTCTGGGTGGGTGTTGGTCCTCCTTTCAACAGTCTTCCAAAAGGGAAGCCAATGTAAACAAGCACCAGCTGGGGCTGCAGCCTCCCCCCCAACCCCAGATCTTATGGCCAGCTGTAATAGAAGGCTAGCAACAGATGGGTGAGGAGGGTCCCCAGGCAGGCTGGGACTGACTCAGCTGGGGTGTCAGTGGGGCTGTGACGTGCCCAGGCAGGATAGGAGGCCAGACAGGCAGGCAAGCAGGCCGGATTTCCGAGTGAGTGATGCCAGGTGGCCAGAGGGCCTCTTGCTCAGCGGGACCAATATAGGATCATCCCAGTCTAGTCTGGGTCTCCCCTTGAAATCTCTCTACCCATTGTCTTGCCCCTACCTAGGGGGTGCCAGGCCATCCATTTCCCTTGTGCCTTAAGAAGGGTTCTTGGAAACTTAAAATGATTCAGTGCAGTAATCACTAGAGCCTTGGCCTTCCAGCTTCACGAAGTCTGTCCATTCAGGGAAACTGAGGCCTGTTTCACACCTGCCCAGCTTGGCTTCCTTGGTGATCTGGGCTCCGCCTGCAAAGGAAGCCAGGCAGCCCCACCCTCACCTGGGAAGCATCCTCTATCCCTGACTCACCAGGAGTTGGGCCCAGCTGGGACAGGAAGGAGAGCCCAGGGTGGGGCAGGTCTGAGGCCCTACCATGGGAGGCTCACACCTCCTGCCTCCAGCAAGCTGAGCCTGATTCCTCCCTGACCTAGACAGATGGGAATGGAGTGCGAGGAGGGCGCCTGTTCGTCAAGATCAAGATCCCCAAGGAAATACATCTGTTCAGTCTCACCAGAGATCAGAGACGGAGTGAGGAGTGGGGGTTGGAGTGAAGGAGAGTCCCCTTCAAGGAGCTTGTCCTATTTGCTCATAAGGTCTGGCCTCGAGTCCCCATGTTTCCATCCATTTGTGTGTATTCTTGGGTCAGTGGTCACTGCCCCTGTTAAGGCCTCAGACATGAGGGAAATGGTTCCCCACTTCATACCCTCACAAGAAAGAGGATACATGAGATTCAATGAGGCCACATGTGAAAGTGTTTGAAACAAGCGGCAGGCACTACCAGGTATTGGACACACTGCTGCAGGCGCTGCTAAGCACTGCTAGGTGGCAGGCAGTGAGCTCAAAGCAGTGCCAGTCACAGTGTCCAGGCCTGGGCCTGTGGGAACAACCAGTCCCAAATGTCTGGATTGTTGGAGACTGCGTGATACTTTCATTTGCCCTCTCCTGTGCATTTCACCTCACATGCCCGCTGCTAGTCCCAAGTGGACCTCAGGAACTCAATACCCTATGGGTAGGTAGGCTGGTATCCCGAAATAGATGGGGGACCACCCAAGGAGACACAGTTGTAGAAATGTGGGAAGGACGTGCCCAACCAAGGTCAGGCTCTGCCTCATTTAGGGGCATCAATCTGGCCTGAGGCAGCCCTGGTCAAAGACCCCCACTCAAGGAGGGGACAGCAGGGGGTGGGGGTAACTCTGGCAGCCAGTCAAGCAGCAGAGGCCCCATCTTCCATCTGATCTGGGCACTTCCTCTGGTTAATGAGAAACCAAATAAACAGCCTCTGCCCCAGCTGGCCGTGGGAGCACCCCAGCCAGGCCCAGCCCTGCTCCAGCCCAGCCTCCTTCCCCTCCACCCTGTCGCTCTCCCTCCCCCTTCCCTCTCCTGTCCCATTGCCCTCAGTCTTGCCTGCTCCTTGACTGGCTCACTGGGGCTTCCTGCTGTGGATCACTAGCTAACCCTCCCCTTCCTTCCTCCTCCTCTCTATTGCCCTCTTACCCATTTTGAGTTGCTGGGATCTCACTCATCCTCCTCTCTTGATCTTGGTCTGAGCAACCTCCACTGGGAGTCCCCCCACCGGGCCCAGAGGTGGCTCCAGGCTGGCACAGAAAGATCCTGGGCCCTGCCAGTACATGTCTCTGCTGGGGGTTGAGGTCAAACGGTCTTTGGGACTCTCATTACTCTGATCCAAGCACGTCAAGCCTCAGTCTGTGGGCAGTGCCCAGGGCTGCTTTAGGTTGAGAACTTCAGCTGCCAGCCAGGAGCCCTCAAGCACACTGTGGAGAGGCCCAGCATGGCCTGGCCTTGAAGCCAGCAGGGAGAATCTTCAGGCTCAGCCGCAAGTGGCCAGCACGTAGCAGCCTTAGTCCCTGGTGGGCTTCATATGAGGCCCAGCTCTTGGGAAGACTTCTCTCCACCCTCAGGCATCCTGAGGTAGGGCAGGGCTGGGCAGGGCCTGCCAGCAGGTCCCCTATCTAGCTTCAGTCAGGTGGTGGCAGTACCTGTGGACACACCCAGGTCCCAAAGGGAACACCCCCTTCCCCGTCAGCCCTCCCTAGCTGAGCCCAATGCCAGACAGGGAAGGTACTCATGGCCTCTGCCACAGAGGCAACAGGAAGCAGAGGGGGCAGGGGGCTGCAGCACCAACATAACAAGAGGGCAGAGCAACTCAGAAGGAGAGCAGGAGAGCCACAGGACAGCTGAGACATCTTATTCCACTAGGACTGGCACCTTTGTCCCTTCCAAACCTGCAGAGGTCACCTGTGGTTTCGCCACAGCAAATCACTCACACGTGTTCTCTCTCTCTCTCTGCCGCTCTCTCATCCTCACTCACACACTCATGCTTCATCCCCCAACATCATGACACCATTTTACACCCATTTCTCCATGTGGTTAATTTTTTTTTTTTTTAGTTCTCATTTTTTTTTCTAAGAAAAAAGCAACAAGAAAATAATTCAGAGTTTATACAAAACATCTTTACATTATTTTTTCCAAAAAGACTAGTATTTACACAAATGGCAACAGAAACAAAAACAAAAACCTTTCCGACTGCCACCTGGAAGGGGCTGGCTGTTTGGCTCCCTCTCCCACCTGGCACTGGGGTGGGCGGCTGGCCAGGAGGCAGTGTGGAGGTGGATGGTGGAAGGCCCAGCTCCTTTCTTGGCCATGGTGGGAGCGCCTGCAAGGCGCACTCATGTGCCAGTCAGTTAGCAGCCGCGCTGGCAAGGAGCCGGGGTCAAAGTGCACGGCGTGCTGGCCCAGCCGGGGATAGATTCTTCCTATTTCCAGGCCCCAGTCCAAAATTGGGGGTGAGCAGGAGCAGGGTTGGGGAAGCACCCACCTGAGCTAGAGCCTAGAAAAGGAGTAGGCCGCTAGGCCTTATACCCGCTTAGGTCTCTGCCCTGGGCCTCCATTTCCCCACCAGGCTGAAAGATGCCTAAGGTGAGAAGAGAACAGGGCGATGGGGGGGCAGGGGGGTGGAAAGGGGAACTCCCAGCTCTGCAGGGCAAATCGCCACCTGGGCACCTCACCTCGCTCCACCCCCCATGAGGTCATCTGCCTGCAGCAGCTCTCCTGTTCCCCAGGCAACAGCCAATTAAGACGTTAATTACCGTGAGAGTGAGGGAGGCAGGAGATGCCCAAGAATCCCACAAGGAAGGGATTTTTTTTTTTTTTTGGTGGAAGGGTGGCAGCCACTACCCCATTGCCAAGATCAGCTCTGCAGAACGAGGGTCAGGACGGGAGGGTGGCACTCACATCTTCCCTCATGGGCCAAAACAGCCTAGCCTGTCCCCTCCCTACCCTCAGACATGGAGGAATTTTTCAAAGAAATGCCATCCTAAGCTTCCTGGCCGGCCACATCCTGCCCCAGGCCCCTTGCAGTGGACTGTGCCTGGCTCAAAGGCCTGGGGAGGGACTGCCTTTTGCATTTTTTCCAATTTTCTTCAAAAAATAGATGAAAATGAGTTGACAGCTAAAAAATGAACACAAAAACATTAAAAACAGTGATGATAGTGGACAAGTAGTCCTGGGGAGGGGGAAAGGAGGTGAGAACAGACAGGGCCGGGGTGGAGGTTTATCTCCCCACCTGCTGTCCATTAGCATCCAACCCTGCCCTCGAAGAAGGGGCGCCCCCACAGAGCCCAGAAGCCTGGCCAGAGGGGGAAGGCACAAGAGCATGGGGGTGGGGGCACACGCACCCCATCTGAAGCCCAGAGGGCAGGGTAAAGGGAATTATAAAAGCCAAGAAACTACAAAACTAAATACAAAGGTGGGCACAGCTGGCGAGGGAGAGGCGTGGGGAAGAGAGAAGTGCAGTCCAGACTGACTGTCCCTTAGGCCCGAGGCTGCCGGGCGCTCAGACCTTGTAGTAGATGTTCGCTGGGCTCTGGGGTGGCATCTCCTGGACGATGTAGACGGGGTGCCCGTAGTCCCCACTCACCTTCTCATAGTGGGGGCAGTAGTTGTTTTCTGTAGTCCGTAAGGGGATGATGATGTCGCTGGGCTCAGTGCCTGCAGTGCCACTGCCCCCCTTGGGAGTGGCCAGGGTGCTGAGCGAGAGGGCAGGAGCCCGCTGCTGCGTGTGTTTGCGGTGCCGCTTGCGTAGCTTTAGCAGCAAAATCGTCAAGAAGATGATGATGAGCAGGAAGATGACGCAGCCTGCACCCACAGCTGCAAACAGTGCCACCTTGGAGTTAAAGAAGCTGTCCGAGTCTCCACTGCTGCCGCTTCCACCTGGGTTACTCTTCTCGTCCTGGTTCACAGTCTCTGGAGGAGGGGGAGGGAGGGGAGGAATGGTCAGCCACAAGTCCCAGCGACACATGGTCAACTGGGTCCTGTCCTGCCTTTTCAGAGACAGACCCCGAAGGGCAGTGGAACCATGGCTTCTGGCCTCTCAGCGACACCTAGAACTTACCATGTTTGCCGTCAGAGACAGGGTTGCCAGGGTTCTGCGTGGCCATCTTGATAGTGTTGTCTGTCTCCTTGCTGGGCCGGCTGGTGGTCAGCTGCTCGGGTGTCACAGCATTGGGGTCTGGGGTGGGAGATAACAAGTGAGGGGGAAGGACTCTGCCCAGCATGGGTTCCCATCACCTGGGGTGGCCCGAGAACAGCCTGTAGGCTGCACCTCAGATACCATGAGCCTACTGCCTCTAGCCACCCCCTTACACTCATACACCCAATGGGAAATGTCTGTTGCGAAGGTCCAACTGGGGCCCCCTGACTGGGCACTCACCTTGCCCAACCTTCATGACAATCTTCATGGTGCGCGTGCGGCATACGCCTCCCTCCCGGTTCTCAAGGCCCTCCAGGCTCCCGTTGGATGTAGCTGCAGCAAGAGTCCAGAGAAGTCAGGGCAAAATGGAAAGGTCAGCCAGTATTACCTAGAAACTCTAGTGCTGCCTTAGCCCAGCAAGAACTAGGAGTGAGGGAGTCCCCACTCTCTGTGAACCTCCCACTAGGAACACAGTAACCTAGCCCAGCCTGGACCAGGAACTAGCCCTCCCTCAAGGTCATTGCTTGGTATCACAACCAGACCCTGGTCCTTCTTTCTGAGTGGACACTAAGTTGTGTCTTCTCATCGGGTGACACTGCTTAGAGGCAAAGCGATCAGAACAGGCTTTGTGAGGAGGACTTCAACCCAGACAGAAAGAATCTAGATTAAGGGTCAGGAGTCCAATCCTATCCCTAACTTCCCAGATGATCTAGAACAAGAAGCCCCTTTACCTCTTGGGGCTATTGTTTCCCATGAACAGAAAGGGTGAATGGCTGGTTTTTCCCCTAAGAGCTCTTACAACTCTGTTATTCCCAAGAGCCAATCTTAGCTGGCAAAGAAAATCAGAGAGCACTGAGAAGTGCAGTCCTCTCCCACCCAATTCCTAGAGCCAACGGGAGCTGGCAGTGGAGCTCTTGGTGAATACTGAGACTAGAGCTCCCAAGCCATGTGAGGAGAACACACCAGTCTTCAGAGGGCACCAGAGCAGGCAGAGCCATCACCATGTGTGGTCACGCGGCTCTACTTCAAAGCTGCCACTGCTCCACAGTGGTTAAGAGAGAAGTACAGGGTAGGCAGGGACTCACAGGTAATGTAGTAATCGTGGTGCTTCTTGAACTCCAGGCCCATGTAGTTGGGGCTGAACTCCTGGAACTTGATGGTAAAGCGGATTTCCTGCTCTGGCCGGTTGCAAGTGACCAGCACATAGGGGTCGAGCACAGTGCTGCAGGCAGCTGCCTGCTCAGGCCGGACTAGGTATAGCTTGTAGTACTCATAGGGCCGCCCTGCTTCCGCTCGGGGACAGATGATGTCCAGCTTGTCTCCGATCTTTGGGTAGATAACCAGTCCCTTCCCACTCAGGAATCTGTCCAGAAAGAGGGAGACGGTCAACCTCAGAGTTGCAGGGCCCAAGCCATTCTGGAACCATACAAGTGAACAATAAGGGCCAGGCTGGGCCTACTGGGTAGAAAGGTTAGAACAGGCATTCTGTCTTTCCTTCATGCTTAGGCTAGGGGTGGGGAGAGAGAACCACACTGCCAGCAGGGTGTGGAAGGGGTGGCCCATAGGCAAGGCTGCCAGGCTTGGACGACTTGGCAGGGTGGGGCACTACCAAGCTGGGGGAACCCTTTGTCCTAATGTGGCATTTCCGTAGGGGGCTGACGTGGCTGATGGGTTGGGTACCAAGGTGTCCGGCCCGGGCCACCTGGAGATGGCATCCCTATTCTCCCACCCCAACATATTCACATTCCTTTATAGACTGGCTACCACCTGCCATGCACACGTGTGTAGTCACATGACAACACACACACACACACTCCAGTTCCACACATGCCTCAGCCGCCAACACCACAGCTCCCAACCAATGGCTAGGGGAGTTCAATCTGCCGGGGACCCATGCTTTCTCTCCCACCCTTATAAATCTTGGACACGATGGGGAGATAGGGACAAGTACAACCTGGAGCCCAGTGGCAATGGACACAGTTTCTGTCCAGGTACAGCTCCACAGAGCATTCCAACTTCCCACTCCCACTACCCAGTATCCTACCAGAGCATCATTCCCATAATGCAAGAGTCTGAATCCGCAAACTTGACCAGCCTCACACCTAAGAATAGAGGGAGGCAAGAAAGTGCCTAAGCAGGGACAAGAGATCTGTGCTCTAATCCCCCAATGTCTACACTGCTTCTGCCCCAGATCCTGAGAGGACATTGACACCTATCTCTGGAAGCAAGTTCATCTGATATTCCGGAACGCCAGCAATAGCAGCTGGGAGAATAGCAGCTGGAAGGCAGCTGGCCCTGCCTAAGCACACAGGAAGAGAGTGAAGCTCTTGCCAGTTCTAAGCCTCGGAGAGTTAGCGTTCGGAGCAAGGCATGTAAGAGAAAGACAAGACATCAGAAATGGACAGTCAGGATCCTTCCTGGCTCTGGGAGCTCAGCTGAACTGCTGGGTCTCCCCGAGCTCAGTCTCCTCACTTATCAACTGTGGGTGGAAAGGTCTTGCTCTATCCCCGCCCCCCCCCTCTGCTGAGGTTATGGTGGGAAGGTGCAACAGCATGTGGAGGGCACCTGACCCATAGTAGGCACTCCATATTATTTGACTTCTGCTTAGAAAGAGTCTTGCTTTCCAAGAGGCAGGAGTCCAGATACCACCCCCAAGTTCTAGCGAACCCAGTCTTGTTTCTTGGTGAGTGAAGAGGGGCTGGGATATGAAACAGAAGATATGGATGGCCCCATCCCCAAGCACTTTACTACCTGTCTGGTGCCTGTCTAGGTCAGAAATGAAAATGGCTTGTGCTCTGGTATGGTTCAAACAGCAAGGGTTGGAGGCAGTAAGAGGCAGCGGACAGCTTATCTGCCAGCTGGTCTGAGATGGGTCCACAGAGGTAGCGAGAGGAAAGTGGGGCCTAGGTGAACAAGGATAAGTAGACACATGGCAAGAGGGCACAGCAGCAGCAGGGACAGCTGAGCAGAGGCTGACAGAAAGGCCTTGCGGGTCACAAGCAACATGGGTTTCAAGCCTTTGGAGACACTCTTTCCTGCTGGAAGGAATTAAGGGCTGAAGGCAGTGCTTCAATAGAGTGAAGCCGACAGTGAAAGAGCATTCTTCCTACTTCCTGAGGGTCCACCGTGGGGACCACAAACCCTGAGGGCCTACTGGGAGTCCGGTGTGCTCATTCCAGGGAAGGGAACGATACCCAAGGCGAAGAACAGGAGAACAAGACCAAGCAGATGAAGAAGCAGTCGGCCCTCCGTGTCCAGTGAGGTTCCACCAAGCTGGGATCTGCCATCTTGTCTGCAGGCAGGTAAAAGTAAAAAAGCCAAAACGCACAGGCTTTCTCTTGATACCTGACTTTACTGCACTCCACCCCATGTACCACAAAAAGCTGAAAAGTCTCACCCAAGCCTCTGTAATTTCCAAGGCATTTTTCACTTTCCAATACTCACACACTGGTTCCATCCAGATGGCATTAGACAATTTCTAACATCTTAGAGCCAGAAGGAACCTTTGAGAGCCACAGAGGGAATGAATAATTAGAAGAACATTACTGTGGAACAAAGGTGCCCAAAGTCAACTCAAGGAGCCTAAGCTCACCTAGGCCATGAACCCCTAGGGATCTATGAGGACCTAAAACACAATGGCAGAATCTTTGTTCTGTGGCATCTCAACAGAACTCTATCTAGGGGTGACAGCAGCTATAGAAGGCAAGTAAAGGGGGCCAAGATAGCTCACCGTTCTAAGCACTCAACCCTGGTTTATGCCCAGAGACACTTGTGTGATCTGGGCACAATTTCCCATCGCCACTCAGTCTCCAGAAACTCCGAATTGGAACTGGGGGCTTCTAGCTAGTAGGGGCTCTACCTTCAACCCAGAGACACTGAAGAAACAGATGTCTACATAGCAAGTGGGGGAGGGAGGAGAAAGGACTATTGCCCCCAACACCCCTCAGACTCTCTTCAACCTCAATGAACAGGCTTCATAAATATTCAACAGTTCATTTGCATAGCAGCTGGCAGAGGGAAACTCACCTTCCCCTATAGTGCTAGGAAAGAGAAGAGGCTGACGAGCCATTGCCTTCCCCAACTGACCTTGATCTTAGCATCTTGCCACCACCACCATCACTGGGACAACTGCTTCTAGGCCTGTGAGAAGCCCAGGAAAGTGGCAAGGGACCACAAGGTATGAGTGTGTACTCAGCGAGAGGGAAGCCCCAAGCCAGCAACACTAGTCATACTGTGCAGGGGGGACCCTACAGGTCTCCCCTCTTAGTCACCAGGAAGGGGGGGAGAGGGAAATAGATTATTCCCAAGTGAAAATCTTTATAACCAGCTTTTCAAAAAAACAAAACTACTCCCTCCCCACACCCCTCCACAGTATCAAGCCAAATTTTTCTGCCTGGGGCCACCCCCAGACAAAGCCCTTTTCCCCTTTTCGGGGAAAGTAAGGCCATTGACTTAGCCCAGCAGGAACTCTAAAGCAGGTCACCATGGTAACCCCTGAGGCTTTCCCTCCTTAGCCTCTGATAGCCCTGGGAACCCAGGAAGCACCCCAAAGAGTAAAAGGACTTGGAGATGGCAGCCCGAGCATTCTGGATCCTGTCTTAGGGTCTGCTTCTCCCCTTCCACCCTAGTCCAAGTCTTCCCTTCAGCCTTCCTACTGAGCTCAGAGATGCCACTGAAAAGAATACAGGGGTAGGAGCAGCCTGAGGGGCTGGAGCAGTGGCCTCTGAGGCCCTGGACTAGTCAGAAGCCAACTGCCCCTCTGTTTCTTTTGTTCCAGTTCAGTCCCTCTCCAATCATGCACATACAGTTGACAGCGGGGACAGCTTGTAGTCATGGGGTTAATACCCAGAAAGCATCCCAAGTCCCATCAGGTCTGCACTTGCTTCATCTCAACCTTCCCTCAGGCTCTAGAAACTTGTGGTCGGAGAGTGGCCATAGGGAGAGTCTAGCCATGCCAGCTCAAGTTTAGTAGAAGACTCTAGTCATTCACAGTCTTGAATCGGTGTCCCCAGCATTTCTCCACCTGCACCCCCAGGGTGGCAGGACCAGAGGAGGGCAGACCCCGAGCCAGAGCTCAAGTCTGCTCTCATCCCAGCAAGGGTGGGGAGCCCCCAAATTAAAGGCTCCTCTTTCACTCCCCCAGCTCCACCCAGCCCCCGAGGCAGCAGGAGCAGGCCTGGCGTGTCCCAGCAATGCCCGCCCAGGCGTGGGTGGGCAGGAACAGCAGCTGGGGCCTGGCACTCACACAGCACTGTCGGAGGCAGGGAAGCCAGGAGAGTCCCAGAGGAAGTCACCCTCCCCACCTAACAGTTGGCTGCCTCTAGTTCAGGTCACCCGAGCAGAAAGCTCTCAGAGGGCAGGCCTCGATTGGGTAGACCTCACAAAGTCAAATGAGGAAGCCAGAGCACCGCTCATCCCACGCAGGCAGGGCCTGAGTCACAAGAACAAAAGCACGCACACCTGTGAGGTGAGTGGGGCAGCTGGGGGCAGGGCACAAGATCCTCTGCCCAAAGCCTGCCTTGAATTCCCATCGCCTAGATTCCAAGGCAGGAGGATGGCACCTAGCACAGTTCTGCCAGGCTCTGTGCTGACTGACCTTGGAGAAGTCATTTCCCTTTGGGTCCCTGTCCTCTTCGTCTGGAAAGTGGGGGGTATTCCTTCCTAGGGCTGCTGGAAACACCTAGTGAGCCAAGACTGAAGGATGCTCTATATACAGCCAGGTACTGCCCCAACTGTGAACACACCACACACAGTACCATGGGGAAATACGAAGTTCCTTCAATATACGCTCCTGGCTGCTGGCAGCCCCACCCAAAACCACTATCTTGAAACATCCCGAAGGGTGGAGGGGGCTGCTGTGATACAAAGACCAAGACACCCAGAATGTGGTTGGTAAGCACCCCCACCTCAGCTCCCCTAACAATCACAGGCTGGACCCTTGCCCAAACCTAGTGCTTCTATGGCAACCAGCAGCCTCCAGGCTGACCCACCCCTCTCCACAGTCCCAACCTCAAGAAAACAGCGCTGCACACTAGTACCTGGGGCCCACCCCATCTCCATCTACCTGCGAGCTGGAGAGGCAGTGGGAAACCTGGTGATGAGAGAGAGGGAACCCTAGATTCACCCCTCACCCCTGCCTTCAGGGATCTTCTGGCCCTGGACTGGCTGCCTCTGGTGGGGGTGGGGAGGCAGGGGAACTCAGAACTTTAGGAGCTGCTGGGTTCCCAGCTCGCTCAGACCCCCACCTGTGGCCAATCAGCCAGAGGAGAAGAGGTCAGGTCCCTAGCCACCATGAGAGAGGGCCCCCCTGAGCTGGCCTCCCCAAGGACTGTGAGCCAGAACAGCTGTGAGGGGGCTGGGGCCAAAACTGGCTTATAGCAGGCAAGCATGGGTTGGGGTCTTACAGCTGCCCCCACCCATGCTGGATGGAGTCAAGGGTCCCATATGCCATGCTGACCAAGGCCACCCCACCCCACCCCCTCAGAGGGAAGGTGTAATGTGATCTCTGGCACATTCGCACTCTCTGGAGGTGGGGGAACCTGAGTGGGGGGCATGAAGGGGTCAGAACTGACCCAGAGACTGAACTGCAGCAGCTGGACTTGGCTGAGAAGACTCAAGTGTGAGGCCTGCCGGCTGCCCCAAACTCTCAGGGGAAGAGGCTGGGGAAGGGAGCCACCAGGGGACCTCCCCTCAGAGTGCCCCCCAACCCACCCAAGTACACGCATGCACACTGGTTCCTACCAAGCTGGAGTGGGACCAAAACTACCTTCCCAATCTGTGCTCATTGGGTAAGTCTGACAAGAGAGGCCCAGGGGTATTGCTACCACATAAGGCCCCCTCACCAATTAGAGAAAGGATGGGAATCTTAAACTGCCCCTTCTGTCTCCCCTCTCCCAGACAGGGACGAGGTTGCATATGCACCCTGGATTCTGGAAATGTCTCCTCTTGCTTCACCATCAACACCCCCCCCCCGCCGCCCCCAGCCTCACCACTTCTTTATTTTGATTTTTTTCCCAAGGAGGAAGCAATTAAGCACGGTTTATAGGCACTGGGAGATTTGGGGGGGAGGGGGTTACCAGCTCCTGACAGGGCTGAGAAGAGAGACCAAAAGCCTGGGAGGAGAGGGGAGGGAAAAGAGAAAATGAGCCTGTGAGGGAGCGCACGGGCATGTGCGAGAAACAAAAGGACTTGAGAAAAAGAGGCCGAGAGTGACTAAGAGTGAGAGGGAGTGTGAGAAAGAGGGAGAGCAGGCAAGCGGAGATGGAGAGGGAGGTGAGCTAGGCTCGAAGAGGGTATGGGAGGGCCAAGCAACAAGGACCTGAGAGGGAGAATTCCTGGCAGCCTGCAAAGGAGAGAAAGACAGAAGAGACAGTTTATTTGAAAGGTTGTAGCAGCCCTGAGGGTTGGGCGCGGTGGCAGAGGCAGCCCCCAAAGCTCAAGTCCAGATGAGCTGAAGGCAGTGCCTTCCTCTGGCCCTTCTCCCACATGCCCCTAACATGCACCAGGGTGGCTGAATTCCAGACCCCTGAGCCTAGCTGGAACTGGTGGGGGAGGGACACGGGGGGGGGAGTAGCATAGTGACTTTAGATCAATTCTCCACCATTCCCAAGATCTGCTCGGTTATAAAATGGAATTTGTGAAGGTCCCACTGAGTCCTCAGTCACTTCCCACCCCCACACTGGGATGCCGGCCCTCAGCTTACAGTGAACGGTGGGGGTGGGGAGGGGGCAGATCTCAAAAACCTGTAAACTAGTCCAGAGCACTAAAGACTCAAAACACAAAAAGGGGGAAGCTTACACAGATCTTGTTTCTCCCAGCTCCCCACCCCCCGACTCTGCAGGAGGGCTCCTTTCCAGCTGTGGAGCTGCCTGCTATCTCTGGTTAGAGACCGAGAGAGCAATTAGGTCACTCCCATGAGCCCCTATGATGGGCTACCCCAGGCGATTTCAGCTCTCCTAGCTCAAGATAGAGCATTTCCAGGCTCCACCCTCACCGGAGTGGGGGAAAGGAGGGGGAGCTGGGCATTGCAAAACCTTTCTCCAAGGGCTGAGTGGTCCAAAGGCCCCAGACCATTTTGAGCCTCTGCTGTCAGGAAAGCACTGCGCCCAGTTTACCCGTCTGGGTAAAGGAGACATTCTTGCCACCCTTTTTCCTTGCACCCTGCCCCTGGTCTAGCCATTCTACCCGACTAGTAAATAGGATCATACCTTAACCCAAGAAGAAAACTAAAGAACCCACTCAAAGGCTAAGAGATGCACTGTCCTTGGAAACCAAGGGGCCAAGACAGACAGGAGCTGGGGAAGTTAGCGGGGGATCCCAACAAGAGTGGACAGGAAGAGATTCCAGATATTGGAAACACAGATCATGAACAGGACAAGGCCAAGGCCCCTGTTTTCCACTAACGTGCCTGCACGTTGCCAGGACCTCCAGAAAGCAGAAAGGAAGAACAATTTCTGACCCCCGAGTTCCAACTAGAGTCCTGGGTGTCAAAAAAAATAAAAAGGTCCAGAGGTCACCACAGCAGATCCAGCCCCAGCAAGGGCTCTGAAAGAGCCCAGAAACCACTGAGCCACCGCCCTGAAAGGTATGTGTTGTTTTCTGGGGGAAGAAACAGGAAGAAAAGAAAGGATCTTGTCTATGTAGCTGCCTCCCCAACCCCTTGGGGAACTAAGCACAGCTACCCTATCTGAGGGCCATAGGGTAGGGGGTGGGGGTGGGCCAGTCGGACCCGTCAGGACAGGAATCCTTCGCTCCCCACCCACCTCCTTGGCTGCCACTCTCCAACCAGGCAGGCCCTCTAAGGTCTGTTGCCGGCTCCATTGGACCCCCGACGGGTGCTGGATCGAAACAATCCCCCCCACCCCTCTCCCACTCCGCCCCTCTCCACCCGCCTTTGTGAGCCTGGGAGCGGCGCCCGCCCTTCCACGGCCCCGACAGGGGAAAAAAAAGGGAGGGGGTGCTGGAAGAGACCGCAAAGCAAAAAGCTAGGGAGGCAAACAAGGAAGAAGGAGAATGAAAATGGGAGAAGCCCGAATGGGGATATAGGAGCTGCCACCCGCCTTTAGCGCGGGTCCCGCGGCGCGTGCCCATCTCGGTTAAACAAACGAAGAACCTGGGTTCCTGCCTCGTCCCCGCTCGGGTCAAGCTCGCTCCTCGGAGCGGCTCTTAGCGAAAAAACGCCACGTTCCCAGGGCCCCAGAGGGGGCTGCGTTCTCTTCTCCACCCAGCTCTCCAGTGCGCTCTCGAGCTCCCGGACTCCCCGTTCCGCCTAGCGCGACCATCTCTCCACTTGATCCCGGACATTCGGGGGAGAGGGCAAGAGAGCTGAGAGGTCTTCACCTATTTAAGTGCGCCCACCCCCACCCGCTGCACCCCGCCTGCCCGCCCGCAGAAAACACACTCGAAAAAGCCAGACACAAAATGGGGCGCCGCTCCTCCTTCGAACACCTTCCCACCGGCACTGGGGGGCGCGTAGCCTCACCCAGAAGGAGTGCCTCCACCCCGGGGGCCAGAGCAGAGAAGTTACTCACTTGGGGTTGAGGGAGCTCCAGGACACAGGCTCCAGGTTCTTGGCCAGCGGCGTGGCGAGCCGGCACAGCGCCAACACGACCATCGCCACAAGCCACTTGCTGAGCCAACGTTGCCCAGGCCGGGCCATCTTCCCGGGGGGCAGGCTGCACTTCGGGATCCCCTGGCGCCTCCTCAGCAAAGCTCTCCTCGCCTCCCCGTCCCGCGCTGCGCTCCGAGCCACTCAGGCGCCCATCTTCCGCCACTGGCCTTGAAGTACTCCCCTCCCGCAGGCTTCGGCGTCGCTCTTCTCCGCCCGGCCGGCCAGGCGGACTCACTGGGCAGCCGTCCCCAACCCGAGCATGGGCTGCGGCCTCCGGGGGCTCGCTCGTCTGGCCTCTCCGCGGCACAGGGCGCGACGGGGGCTCTGCGCCCCCAGGGAATCCCGCCCGATTCCAATCGGCTCCCCGAGATCGTTCGGGACTGCACGCCCTCTCCTCGTCGGGGGCTCCCCACTGAGGACTCGGTGGCTGCCCCGACGCCTCGACCGTCCCGTGATCGGCACCCCTGGAAAGAAGTGGGAGTCTCCCCACAACTCGTACTCGCTCCGGGGGCTCCCCTCTTGGTCGCCCAGGCGCGGGTTCCGTTCCTCCAGGCCACACTGGGACTCCGGGCTGCGCCCACCGCCCCCCCCCAACCCCTTCGACAGCTTCTACTTCAGCACGGGCCCCACTCAGTGTACTTAGAAGAGAGGGGCGACGCTGCTGAACAAGCCAGTCCCATCGGTTTGCGCCGCTGAAGCCTCGGCCCGGTAGCCCTGCAGCCGGGTCGCTGAGTCCTCGCTCCCCCGCGATTGCGCCCGAGGGTCTATAGCCAGTGCAAGTCTCACACACCTCCCGCCGCCAGCCAGCGCGCATAGACTCCCTCCGCTGCCGCCGAGCTGTCTACTCCCCTGCTCAGGCGAACGCAGGGCCAACCCTATTCCGCTCAGCCAATAACAAGCTCCGTCACGGGGTCCTTGCCCCGTGCCACGCCCCCAGAACAGGAAGGGGGCGGGGTTTCGGGGAGCTCTTAAGGACGCCGCGCTCTGGATGACACGGATCTGAGTGTGCGACTCCTGTGGTTAGCGCTGGGGCCCGCCTAGTCCTGTTCCCAGAGCGCTGAGCTCGTGGGAAGCTGGCGCTTCTCTGGAACTGTCGGCCTGCGCTCCTCCCCTCACGCCTGGTCGACACTTGGCCCGCTGAGTTGAGTCAGACAGACCCGGCCCCAAGTTTCCGGAGAAAGTACAACCGTTCTCTTTTACGCACACAGGAGCCCCGAAATCCTGCTCCTACCCACCTATGTGGCAAGGCTATCGTCACTCAAGGGCTCTAATGGGTTGTACGACTTTTGCCCTCCAATGACAGTGTGCGCTTTCGCTACGAGCCGGCCTCCTGAATACACAATCGAACAGAGGCTGACAAGGATTCTCAAAGGTCTCAAGTAGAGCGTACTGGTAGTGGTAGGGGATTTGAGTTCTTTGGCCCTGGGGAGCAGCAAGCCTTCGGGACCGCAGCTTTAGGAGAGCCCAGATTAAGAGTTTCCTTCTGTGTGAAAGTGTGGGCAGAGAAGGGCCTGGGATAGGCCAGCAGGCATGAGAGGACACCTAGATAAATAGAGACACCTCCAAGGCAATGAGGACGAGACTGAGGGCAGGCACTTTTCGAAGCAGCCAAAGCAGGCGCCCTAGCCCCAAGACGCCGGACTCCAGCCCTCCTGGCCTCGTCATCTGGGTCTTTGTCTCCCAGCCGAGGCCCATTCTCCCCGCCCCGCCCCGCCCCTCCTCGTTTCCTTGATTATAACTTTGGCTCCATCCCATAGCTCAGACCCTCCCGGTCCAACCCGCTCTACGTGGTCGGACCTTAACAGACTTACCCACGTACTAAGGTCTCCCCCTACTGGTCTTCCTTATCACTGTGAGTGTTTGGGACAAACGGTACTCTGCACCCCAACTGGAGCACAGTACACCAATGCCAGGCACAAAAGCTCAAACACAAGACCCTAGATGGCAGGAGTGGCCGTCACAAGAACTGCGGCCAGTAAGGGGGAGGAGGTATGGATTTGGGGTAGGCTTTGGGACTGCCCAGCAATTAAAGTCCCCTTGCTGTTTCTTTCTTTTTTTTTTTTAAGATTTATTTATTCATACAGAACTGGGGTACAGGCCAGAGATGCGGAGGGTGAGAGGATTCACCAGAGACAGACTGGGGAGCAGAACAGGCCAACTGATGAAAGACAGACTGGGGAGCAGAACAGGCCAACTGATGAAGTACACTGCTGAGGGGAGCAATGGGCGGGTCAGCAGAGGTCTGTCACCTCCGAGGCAGGCGGGAATCGAACTCATGCGGAAGTGGCTTAAGCTTCTTAGTGCTGTGCTTTAACCTGCTGCGCCACCAGGGAGGGCCCCCCTTGCTGTTTCTTTATGGAGATAATTAGGTATGCAACATTCCCAAAGCCACATACAATCCACACACAACCTGTCCTTATCTCACTTAAGTTGCCAGCTGAGCGACTGACTGTCCTCTGATGATCCCTTTTGGCTATGCGGGGGACTTCTGTTGGGAGGAAAACAGCAAGGGACAGGTTCTCTAGGGTGAGGTAGATTTGGAGGAAGAGTTATTTACAGTCTCTAAGCTCCTAGCTGGACCCCTTATTGAGGTGGACAGAAAGTCTTTTGAGGTGAGTTCCACTCTCTCCATTTTACACAGGAGGAAGAGACTCATCTGAAGTCACCAAACTGATTGGCGGTGGAATCAGGATTTGATGCCAGGCTCATCTTTCTGAAAGGCCTCTGTCCATTCTCTTATACTATACTGAACTGACAGATTTCCAGACCCTTCTTGCTTATTTGCTTCCTTAATTCATTCCTGGTTAAAAGCTGGTTCATGCCTGAAAAATAATAGCCTTCAGGATGACCAGGCCTCTCTCAACTCCACTCAAAATGTTTCAGGAGATTACAAAGCCTGGGGAAGTTCATTTGAATTTCTCGCCACAGGCCCAGGTTCACAGCTAAATCACCACTGCTAACCTCAGAACCAGACTAAAATGCCAACATGCCCAGTGCCCCTAGGGAGGTTCAAGCTCAGGTCTAGATAGATGATGGAGGAGACTTAGGGTACACTGCCAGACTTGGGGACCCTGGGAAGACAGAAGCAACTATTGGGTGTGCCAACACCTAACCCTCAATGGGAAGGAAGTAGAGGAAATAAACAGTGGCAGATGCTGTGTGTAGGCTATTACATGTGCTGGTCACCTCTGGACATGGCACAGACTTCCCTGCCTGAACATATCTACACCAGCTGCAGGAGCATTGGTGGCACTACTGGGCCTTTTCTCTGCCAGCGGAGGCCCTAACCACCTGCTCTTCTTCTCCACCCGCTCACATCTCCCATCTCCCCCCCTCACTCCCCCAACACAGGACCTCAGGTATGGTGATTCAGCCCCCTTAGGCAGGGAAAATTTAATCTCTGGGGTGAACCTAAGAGGAAGTCAGGATCTGTGGAGGATGTGGGACCCTCTCACCCAAATACTCCCTCCTCTGGTGGCAGCCATGCTCCCAAATCAATGCCACTGAGCACATACATGCAATACTTCAGGGTTCAAGTCCACCAAAGTTTTCCCTAGCCCTGCCTTTGAGGAGCTCCAAGCAGACCGAAATCAGTATATGGGGGCCTGTTGAACCCAGAAATGCAGAACATCTGGCAGCTTCAGGAGGTGTCAAGAATGATGCAGCCTCCAGAGAGCCACAAAGCAGCTCCTTCTGAGCTCAGCTTCTCATCCTCGTGGACAGAGGGAGGTGGGAACTTTAGAGCCAACAATTTCACTGCTCAGTGCAGCTCCTTGGGCAAGTCACTTCACCTCTGTGGGCTTCAGTTAGCTCATGTGCTACCTGGACATCATCTCTCATTCACAGAGCTGTGAGAGATGAATTAGATAATACAGAAAGGGCTGCCATCATGCCTGGCCCACCACAGTGCTTACCAAATGGAAACTCTTTTATTTTTCCACAGAGACACCCTCATTCCTGCTCACACTTGTTCTCACCTGTTCACACATGCTCAGTGTGCCACATGAACATTTGTAATAGTTCCTCCTCACACAATACACACATATTCTTACATGAGCCTTCAGGCTGTCTCACCTACACATTCACCCAACACCCGCTGGCAGGCCTGGTGCCAGCCATTGTGGCTCTTGGAGTCCATCCCCCACATCTATTCACATCACTGTCACACATGCACAGAAACATACACATATTCCCTCTCTATTTCTAGGACCTTGTCCTGTATGCCCCCCTGCCTGCCTGTACTCTAAGATGTAAACTAGCTCACCTAAGGCTATACAGCTTGGAAGTGAAGTCAGGATTGAAATCTATACTATTGAACAACACAGATTGAGCTTACAATTGTGACTCTATGCCCACATCCCGGGGTGTGGCAAAGGCGCTTGTGCTAAGCAGTAGGCCTTGTCCACTGAAGTGTCAGGGAACAGAAAGTCTAACATGAGACCCAGGACTATGCTAGTTGGGACAACCCGGCGAGGCTCACTCTCCTCTCCACACAGAGAGAGACGGCCACTCCTGCCACCTAGGGTCTTGTGTTTGAGCTTTTGTGCCTGACATTGGTGTACTGTGCTCCAGTTGGGGTGCAGAGTACCGTTTGTCCCAAACACTCGCAGTCTTCCTTAGGGAAGACCAGTATGGCGTGCCTGTACTCTCTGGCCTGGCCCCTGCAAATCCCACCACACTCACAGATGCACACAGCACTTCCCATAGGACAAAGGCTGGCTGTACTTCATGAACCCCAACTGTATGCCAGGTGCGGCAGTGCGGTGCTATCAACTTTGGAGCACAATCGCCTTTGTTTAATTCTCACATCATTCTTGAGGTGGGTACAGATAAGCCTATTTTTGAATTGAGAAAACTGAAGCACCAGGCTGAGTCTATGCCCTTGCCAAGCTCAGCCTGCAAATCCCAGACATTTATTCCCTCCACCCCCTTCTCTCCACTTCATGCTAATCATCTTGTCCTCACTGCCCTCTTGCTGAAGTATGTTGGTCTGTTGGGCTAAGCCTATCCCCCACCCCCCCATGCCCCGTGAATGCATGCTTTTCCCAAGTCACTCTATCTCTGGGCCTATCTCAGAGAAAGCTGAGGGTGGGGCCAGAGCTCTCCCAGTCTTCCTCCTCCCCACCCTTCTGGCTGCACCACACACCAGGATCAGTTTAGAGCAGACTCCAAGAGGGGAAGTTCTGCGAAGCTAGTTTCACTTAAGTTATGACAATTCCCTATGTCTAGGAAGGAAGGTGGATCCCCAAAGGCCAAAGGTTCAAGTAAACTCCCAACTCCCAGACTCTGTCCCAAGCTTCATGTCTGGTTTATGGATATTTGCAGTAATATCAACTTGATTTTTCAGGTCTCAGCACGGCTCTGGGTCAGGCCCTTGTCAGAATGACACCAGTGATAAGAGGAGCCATTTCTTCCAGACACAGCCTGGCCCCTGCTCTCCTTACTCATTTCTCATAAACCCAGCCCTAGCCTAGACTCCTAGAAAGTTGTCAACCCCCCCAGGCCCCATAAAAGCATTGGGTCTGTCCTTGCCCCTGACAAGGGCCTAGATCACGCATCAGAAAGCCAGAGCTTGGTGGAAGCTAGGGCCCCGGGCTCCTTACAGTCCTCCTCTTTGGACATCCTTCCCATCCCATGTGAGATCTGGGCTCATCTTCCTTTGCCTGTCTAGCCCAGGGCTTGGGAGGGGGCAGTGTAGCAGGCTAAGCCTGCAGCACTTCAGGCCCATCCACCTGTTGTGCTCTCCCGCCAATTACCTGGGAACTGTGCATAGTGTCTAGCACTTTCATCACTGTTAGGGTTTTGAGAATTCAGGGAAAGGGGACAGCAGTTATCCAC